TTGATTTACTTAATTATTTACAAAATTTGTAAATCAGCCACCTTTTTTTTCAAATAGATAAAATGACAAAATACCCCATTCACAAGATGAAATGACAAACTAAATTATTAGCGGAAATGACACTACTGAACTACCCCCTAATTTACAACTTTTTATACTACGTAAATCAAACTTATACACTGACCCTAAAATAATATGGAGTACAATAGAACACCATTATTGGTTTGGTTTTGGTGGGTGGTTAGTTTTTGTTATTTTTGATAGTGAGGTAGTTTAAGTGCTTAACCATGGTTACCTTATGTTTACAGATTTATATCATCTTTCCTTTATTTCCCAACCACCAAATGTTACCATAAATAGTGGGTTTGTTTCCCCTTCATTTGATAGTTTTAGCTTTTATCAAAGTTTTGTGTCTTGTTTAATTTGGTAATATTGAGAGTTAATGTGCTGTTGCCTTTCCATAAGGCTAACAATGCCATACAAGGTTACACTCACTTGTATTAGTAAAGGTTGTTGGGTGCATCTCTTTAAATAAATATCTCTTGGGTTTTTTCGTATTATCACTTGCCTTTATTATAGCCTCTTCCCATTTTTTCAACCCTAATTTATTTTTATTCTTACTTTGACGCAACTGTTTTTCCTTGGTCTACACTCATTTACTAGGGGGGTAATAAATACTTACTCCGTAGTAGAGTAACACTCCACTTGTTTCTTTAAATCCAGTACTCCAATCCCATCGTTTTAAAATAAAGCCCCTATTTGACTACCACAGTGACCCTGTTCTTTAGAGCTGCTCTGCTTTGTCCTACTCTGTACTGTTCTACTCTGCTTTGCTGAAATCTGCTCTGTCCTACCCTGCTCCGCAATGTGTGGAACTCTATCCCTGCTCTGCTGTGCTCTGTTGTGTCCTACTCTGCTTTGCCTAGAAACTCAAAAGAACGGGATTATCAATAGGTGTCAATAATTAGTAGTCGTACATCGAATAGAGTTTTAGGGCATGTTCACATTTACGAAGTGAACTAAACTGAATAGAGCTGAAATGAATATTTTATGAGAGAAGAAAAGTAGGAGTTAAATTAAAGTGAAATGAATAGAGATGAAATGGATATTTTATGAGAGAATGAAAGTAAGAGCTGAACTGAGCTGAACTGAACTGAAATTAAGCTGAAGTGAACAAGCCTTTAGAAAAATTATATAGGATGGTTTGTTAGCTAAATATTAATCAAAACAAATGAGAACAAAGTGTCACAATTAACATTCTTTGTAAATAATGCTCATATATCTTATAGCAATGGCTCGTACATGCATGAGGTGAGATCCAACTTAGATCAAAATCTAATAACCCTATAGCAAAGTAGTGAAGAAGTAGCTATAATTGTCAAGGTCACAACTCACAAGTGGAGTTTGTGAGTAAGCAAAGCGATTAAAACACGTAATTAAAGTCGAACCTACAAGCCATGTTAACTTTTGTCCTTGGTAAAACCATAAACACCATATTTGGGCAAACATAAGCTAATGAAACTTTTTAATTCCGTAAATGTTTTGCTTAGTATACAAAGGACCACAACTTTCCCTTTGTAATATGAGTAACTATCACTCCCCATTAATTTTAAGTACCCTCTACTTCCAACAAGACGTAAAGTATTATTTCACCTTCAATTATTTTTCATACCCAAATACTATGGAAGTTATACGATGCTTTGAATTAGCACCTAGCTTTTTTACGTGACACGCATTTAGAACATTTAAATTGGACGTGATAACATTTTAATCATCAACTCAATAAAAAGTCTTTGGATAATTACTTGGCAAATCGAGCTTATTATCAAAAACACTTGCTCTCGTTCTCTTGGCTCAAATTCATGGAGTTTCCAGCACATCTACCAAGAAACAAATTGCACAATTGATTAGATACCTAATGTAAGCCATTTAGTATTTGATAATATGGATATATATATATATATATATATATATATATATATATATATATATTGATGTTTGTAATAAATCTAGTGTGTGTACTAATTTTTTTTATTTAGATTCATTAGGAAGTTCCCTTGTAAGTGATTGAGCGGAGGTTTTCTAATGATTATTTATCTTGCCCAATATAAAAAAAAATACACTTTAACAATCCCAACTATGGGCGATTTACCTACAATAATCCCAACGTTTATTTTCTAATAATTCTAACTATTAGGTGAGTTTTCCTCCAACAGTCCCAAAAATCGGTTACCTGCTAAAAGGGTAAACTTTTTTTTTTAACAAAAAAACGCCACATGTCATAACATGATTGGCTTAATATAAAAAAAAAAACAAAAGTCATCCCAGCCACCCCCTCCTCCCTTCAGCCACCTTACATTCACCATGAAACCCAGGCCATAGCGGCTGGCTCAAACCCTTTTTTTCACCCAACATCGCAGCTCCGCCGCCTCCACCATCGCCTACCCCATCCGACCGGCCGCAGCAGCGCAGCCCCACCTGAAGAACACCTACGAAACTCCCTTCTCTCTCCTTCTCGTGCCTCTTTCTCTCTCCTCCGCTGACGAACACCCACGATTCCACGAACACCCATGAACATCCACGAACACCAACCGAATTCTCAACGTCGACCTCATCTTCAACCTCCAGACACAATCCACGCCTGTGACGACCTTTAAGGTGGTCAAATTCGAGGGTTGGGCTCTCGTTTTGGGGATTGGGGAGGGTTGGTTGAGCGGTTTCAGGGGTTGGGGTGGGTGGTAGAGGCCGACCGACTATTTTCGCTGGTTGGCCGGCCGATTTTCGGCGAGATCGAGGGTTATGGTTAGGGTTCCGGCGAGGTTTGCCGTTTGGGGGTGGGGGAGAGAGTGGCTGGCATTTTGGGTTTTTATTATTTTTTTTAAAAAAATTGACCAATCACGTGTTGACACGTGTCATGGTACATGTTATAATAGGTCGTTGACTTTGTGTTTATTGGTTGGGACTGCTGGAGGAAAACTCAAGGCATAGTTGAGATTATTAGAAAATAAACGTTAGTTGAGATTATTGTAGGTAAATCGCCCATAATTGGGATTATTAAAGTGTATTTTACCCAAAAAAAAAAATGGCTTGAGCTTAATTGAATCATAACAAATACTCCGTACTATTAATAAAATAGATAATATGTTTTGGGAATATCTTTAATTATTATACACAAAGGTTAGGAATTGATGAAATTTCTTAAAAATTCACATGTGAATAGCTTAATTGAATCATAACAAATACTCCGTACTATTAATAAAATAGATAATATGTTTTGGGAATATCTTTAATTATTATACACAAAGGTTAGGAATTGATGAAATTTCTTAAAAATTCACATGTGAATATAATTGTTGTCATACTGAAGAAGGGCAAAGAAAATGATTAATATGAAGTATATAAAATTGGCGACCTACCCTACCCAGCATCAATTGGTTGATAGCGAGGCAACAATGTAGTCTCTAACATTGATCGAGATGCGCAATTTAAGAAAATATTGAAGAATTTAGATGGGTATAAATTATACTTCGTAATATGATAAAGAAAATTGTAAAAATTGAGGGCGAGGGGTTGTATATGAAAATTAATAGTATTGAGTGTCCAAAAATGTGTGAAGTAATAGTTATCCCAAGTGCTTGAAATGTTTCACTCTTTCAGGCTTCTTAGCATTGTTTGAGAAAGAAGTGATTCGAATTGTTTTGAATCAAGGGAAGGTTTAAGACTTGAAGAACATTTTAGTTGGAATAGGGTTTTTTATTACAATTAGGCCTCGTTCTCTTCATCTTATTTTTGCTGAACTGAAATTATTTTTACTGATTTTCTATTGTAATTCTTCTTTAAGAAAACTGAATTTTACTGAACTGAACTTATTTTTACTGAACTGAAATTAAATTTACTGAACTTAACTTAATTTTACTAAACTGGACTTAATTTTACTGAACTGAACTTATTTTTACTGAACTGAAATTATATTTACTGAACTGAACTTAATTTTACTAAACTGAACTTATTTTTACTGAATGAACTTAATTTTACTGAACTAAACTTATTTTTACTGAACTGAAATTATTTTTACTGAACTTAACTTAATTTTACTGAATTGAACTTATTTTTACTGAACTGAAATTATTTTTTACTTAATATTATTTTTTAAGGTGAAAAGAACAAGGCCTTAATCTTATTACTCAAGAGTCAAGACTTTGCTTGCTGAACACAATCTATTAGTTAGTGAATATTCAGTATTTCCGATCCAAAGGTTGAGGATTCTTTCCTTAATGGGTTTTTAAGCAAGGGAATATTTGTTGACTAAGGGAGATTGTAATTGTGCTATTTAGGTGATGAATTATTACACATACTAGCATAGTGCCCGTGCGATGCACGGTTTATAAATCAAATTATTAAGGAAAATTTGCAAATTGCAGCCATTTAAAGTCCGTATTTTGCAAATTGCAGCCATCACTAGTAGAAAAAGGCTCATTTGCGTCGCTCATTTATAGTGTATTTGCGTCGCTCATGTCGCTTCTATGAGCGACGCAACTGCTCGCGACGCAAATGATTTAAAAGTCATTTGCGTCGCTCTTTTATAAAGGAGCGACGCAAATGACTCTTCTGATAAACTTCTTTTTTGTTATTTGCGTCGCTCCTTTATAAAGGAGCGACGCAAATGACTCTTATTTGCGTCACTCCTTTATAAAATAGCGACGCAAATGACTCTTCTGATAAAATTCTTTTTTGTTATTTGCGTCACTCCTTTATAAAGGAGCGACGCAAATGACTCTTCTGATAAGCTTCTTGTTTGTTATTTGCATCACTTGTTTATATAGGAGTGACGCAAATGACTGACTAGACAATACAAAATTGCTATATTTGCGTCACTTGTTTGTTTAATGAGTGACGTAAATGAGGTGATTTTTTTTTAATTATAATAATTGCCTTGTATATGTTTGTAGTACCTGTTTTCCTCACTAGTGGTATAAAGTAATATGCTAACGCTAATATAATTGAAATTAAAATGCAATATTATTGAATAATGCAAATGTAAATTTCGGCAGAGTCTCCTTTGTAATTTGGCCTACCCATAAAATTGGGAATGACGGCATTATATTAACAACCTGTCCACTAATTTACATCTCAATATCATAGACATTATACTCATCATCCCAACACCAATTAACCAAATTTCATTTCAATCCTATAATCCAAAACAAGAGTCCAACATGCGCTAAGTTTACAACAAAACAATATTGACCTCTTCATCATTAATTAATAAGTATAACACAAGCACCAAACCAACCCAAATGTTGGTAAATCAAATGCGTTCATTTCAAGCCTAAGAACTATAACAAAATAATCCAATAAATAATATGGAATTTGAAGCCAGCGTAATTCAATTTAGGGACAAAATCTTCATTTTCCCTAACACGATCGAACAAGTCCATAATGGAAGTCCACTTCCTTTTTCTCTTGCAAACAGTTTAAATAAAGTCACCAGTTCCTGATATCAAATACAATTAATCAATAAACAATCAGAGTTGAGAATGAAGGATCAAAGCAACAAAATAATATTCTACAATTATTTAAACAACTACATTACCTTTCCAAGAAAATACTAATAGTTGTTCCTCTAATTAAGTATACTAGCAGAGGAATAAAGGATTGATGCCAATTATTTGCAAAACCTCTTAATACAAAAACCAAGAATGGCATTTATACGATTCGATCAGGATTTTCTTAATACAAAAACCAAGAGGGCCACCAAAATTAAGGCATTTTCTTTGGAGTGCCGTGAAGGGGAATATGGCAGTGAAAGATCGACTAAGGTATCGTCACATTACAACTAACGCTACTTACCAATTATGTGGTGTGAATGAAACAATTTATCACACTCTATTTGAGTGTGTTGTTGCAAAGGAAATTTGGCATTACAGTGAGTACAAAACCAACCTGGAAGATGCGCCAAATGATAATTTTGCAGAGCTATGGTTATGGCTTTGTAAGAAATATGATGCAGAAGTAGTTTGTTCTATGGCCGCACTGATGTGGGCTGCTTGGAGAGGGAGGAATTTAATCATGTTTCAAGGTGAGAATCCGAATAGTGTGCTGCTGGCTGCGGGGTTTGCAAGGATAGTTCATGATTACAATGGCTATGCTAAAAAGGTTCTGCTGCCCCCCTCTGTTCTGAGACAAAATGATGCTGCTACAAGCTGGAAGAAACCGTGCCTTGGGTGTGTTAAAGCAAACTCAGATGCTCATATTCTTGAGGGGTGTAAGGCAAGGCTAGGAGTGGTCGTTTATTTTTAACACAACGGCCTGGTAAAATTATTTCAATACAAACACTATGTCATAGTTTATCTTTTCACGGCCAAGTATATCATGGAACATTTTTTAGCTAAAAAAAAAATGGGAAAGAGCTTCTCTTAGTAGTAGCAGGGGAAAAATCAACCAGAATGAGCAGCAAAACATAAAAATTAAAAAAAAATAATAAAAAAAACAGTCAGATTTAAAAAACTGTAAAATGAGCAGCAAAACATAAAAGAAAATACAGTCAGATTGGAGAAAAATCAATAAAATAGTAAAATCAAAATTCACCAAATCAACTACATAAATTCACCAAAACAGAACCAAAATAGTGAAATCAACTACATAAATTCACCAAAACAAAACCAAAATTCCTTAGAATCGAGTATAAATCCTATATTTGATGAACCCTAAATTCGAATATGAACCCTAAATTCGAATATGAACCCCAAAAAGCTGTTATTTATAAGCATGCTTGTAAAACTAGAATTCGTGCAAAAAACAACAACAAAATAGGATTAAACTAAGTTAATTTAAAATTGAATCCAAATATCTATGTAGATTGAAGTGCATGATAAAAAAGAAAAGAGATGAAGAGGTTTTACCTTGCTTGAAATCGATTTTGCATATGCAACTTCAGCAACAATAGAGCCAAAATTCCATATTATTGAGTACAAACCCTAACTTTCAATTGTTATATTGCTCAAATTATAATTAAGGTAATTTGCTCGATTTTTTGCAATTGAATTTCGTGGGGATTTTGGGTAGATTTTTTGCAAGAAAGTAGGGGATTTTTGCTCGGATTTGCTCGAATATAAGGGGTTTTGCCTCACATTTCCTGGGATTTTTGATTAGTGGTCAAATTGGTAGGTTATGAAGACGAATTTCTCGAGGTATTACTCTTAATTCGCTGACGTTTAGGGGGTTGAACAGCAGCAAAGCAGCAATGGGGAATTCAGGGGTTTTACCGATCAACTTTTTGGGGTTTTGATGTTGAATTTCTGGGAATTTTGGGGTTGAATTTTCTAGGGTTTGGAGTATTGAAGTTCGAACAGCAGAAGGCAGCGAGAATTAATATAAGTCGTAATGGTCATTTGCGTCACTCAGTAAAGAAAGAAATGACGCAATTGACTCACAAAGGTTATTTGCGTCACTTGTCAATAAACGAGTGACGCAAATAACATTGTTATATGCGTCGCTCCTACTTATAAAAGCGACGTAAATATAAATAAGTTGAAATATGTTTGACATTTGCGTCGCTTTATAACAAATGCCCGACGCAAATTACTTATAAGGTTGTCAAAATATCTTATTTGCGTCATTTGTTTCTATGAGTGACGCAAATAAGGCGACGCAAATGAGCAATTTTCTACTAGTGCATTTAAATTTTTTTTTGCAAATTGCAGCCTAAAAGTTCGTATAAATTGTAAATTGCAGCCCGATTCAATTTTTTCATCGGATTATATGTTGAAAATTCTTCATTAAGGTTTTAGGGGTCATTTTAGCTCTTAGGGGCCCGAATTGAGCTCGGAATTAGCAAAAAAAAATAACGTAATTTGCAAAAAAAAAAAATAAAATTAAATGGCTGCAATTTGCAAAATACGAACTTTAAATGGCTTCAATTTGAAAATTAAAGGATTTGGTTACTAATGGTCAATAAAAAAAAATTAAAGGAACGTTATTTGCATAGTATTTTATGTTATTTAAATTTCTTTTAATTTTTTATAATGTTATTTTATTCAGCGCAGTTCTGGTGCGGCTGGCTGCACGGTGCGGCAAGGTGCTATATCAGTAACCCTTCTAGTAACCCTTCAAGTAACCCCATTTAAGTAACCCCTCTAGGAACTCCCCAGACAAAGTAACCCCTGACTGACTTAGTAACCTCTGACCAAGTAACCCCCGACTAAGCTGGTAACCCCTAGTAACCCCTGACCGACCTAGTAACCCCTAACATAGTAATCCCTAACCGATCTAGTAACCCCGAACCTAGTAACCCCAAGTAACCCCTAACCGACCTAGTAACCCTTAGTAACTGTTTAAGTAACCCCTGAAATAAACATCCACAACAACAAAACAGGGACCACAAATTCATCCAAATCAAACCAAAATAATGAAACTTTCAAGCATCAATTTAAATCAATTTTGCATAAAACAAATTTATATAAGAAATGTTGCAAATGATAAAGGAAGAAATCGTTGGTTTGAATGAAAATCAATTAACAAAATACAGTAGAATGAATCAATTAACAAAATACAGTAGAATGAATCAATTTACAATAGATAAGAGCAATTAACTGAGATTTTGCATTTGCTCGACTCCACCAGCAATCAATTAACAGGACGACGACGGAGGTGGAGGTCTTTGGATGATTTCGCTGACAAATATGAAGACGAAGACGAATATTTGGGTTGATTTGGAGTTCGAGGAGCTTCGACGACGACGAAACGAAGACGGTGTCGACGATCTGGCTTGGAGCTTTGAGAAGATCTGGACGGAGACGACGAACCTGACGGCGGCGGAAGACCTAGCTCGGCCATTGATGGTTAGAGAGAGGAAGTTAGGAAGAGGAAATGGAGGAAGGTAGAGGAGAGAGAAAATATAAAAAAAATTTAAAAAATATGGCTGGCCGTACGGTGCGGTCAGCCGCATATAAAACTTTGTGTATTTTATTAATTGAATAATACTCCACATAACTATATAAGAAGTGGAATAATTTATATATATCTCTTGTTGAGAAAAAACTAAAATTTTCTTATCATATCATCCGCATCAGTAGCTACAATCAATCTAATATATATATATGTTTTATTTACCTGTCGCACTCATTAAATCTATAGACACAATAATAACCTTATATTTGACTTACCAGAACATATATTTTCCTACGTTAACCATTGTGCCAAAAACTATATATTATATAATAGTCACATATATAACCAACAACTGATTAAATATAGTATACAACACAAATACTTCGTATATAGGTATGGATACTGATAATTATATATATATATATATATATATATATATATATATATATATATATATATATAATATACGGAGTATATATTACTAAGATTTATCCCTACCTTAATTATAAAAAGGTTTACAAAACCCTTATAATAGTGCATGGACATTTATATATCTAAAAATGTTCTTTTTACATATATTTTCCCCCGTTTAATTTTAAAAGCCTTAAAATTGTCTCTTAAATTCACTAAATTAATTTAAAAGGTTATGTTTATTTCAATATTTAAAGTCATTTACTATTTTCATTTCCTTTTGTTTTAATTTTTCTATTTAGAATTTATTAAACTATTAGGTTTCAAGATTGAAGTTAATATCTTTTTACCGTACAATCACTAAATCAAAGTCGCTCAACTAAAGTTTTGGACATTGCATAGCTACACAACATCCAACAAATTTAATGATTACATGCAAATAATTTTAATTAAACTACGCATTCGATATAAGTTATTAAACAATTTAACTATATATACATTTTGATAGGTTTATATTTTTCATATTAACAAAAATTTACAAATGTTATTATTATATTTTGAAAAACAATTTAGACTTTGGAGTTTTGTATAAGATAGATAAAGTATAAGTTAATTCCCGTCATATATGCATTGAGTTTTGGGTGTTATATCCGGTTCACCCTTTGGGCTAATCCAGATTTGAGGATCAAATCTAGGTTATTAGGTTCCATTCCCCTTCCGATTGTTGTTGCAGGGGAGCGAACACAGGTCCTCCCTACCTAGTGTAGTCTCAGTAACCACTACACCAACAACCAATTGGTGTAGTGGTGATTGAGAATACACTTGGTATGGAGGACACATGTTATAAAATATTATATTATATACATATACTTTTTTATATTATAAAAAAAATTATATTATATACACATACTATTATAGTTAAAAGTATTATTATGTATAAAACAACATAAATTATTGCACATGATTGTTGTATATCTAGTATAGTACTGAGCAATGCACGATTTTTAAATTAAAATGAAAAAAAATTCATAAGTAATAGCATTGTTATTACGAATATTACAATTTAAAACATGAGTAATAGTTATAATACGTTTTATATCCGTCTCTTTTCCGTCAAATGTCTAATTCAATTTAACTTTTATTCTTCTTGTTTAGATTGGTTATTGGTTAAGTTTTTTTTTTTTTTTTTTTTTTTTTTTTTTTTTTTTTTTTTTTTTAATGCAAGAAAAACAAAAGGTCATTGTATAGAAAATGAAAGGCCGATTAAAATTAAATTTATGTTCAAGATTATGTATTTTTTTTCCAAGACAATATTTCGGCTCAGCATTCAGTATTTGTCAAGGAGTACAACAAACGATAAAAGTAATTTTTACACTATTTTGTATCTTTATCAAAAACTTTTGTATTCATCGGATTACTTGAATTGAATTTAGGATAACTTGTAGGCTATTTTGGGTAACTTTTATCAATAAAGCATAAATAACTTTCATTCATTATAGCTTTTATAATAGGTGCACAATATTTTATTGTACATCTGATTTTTTTAAATGTTTGTATTGATTTCGTAATTGACGTCAAACTAAATTCTATCGATTTTATTTAATTTTCATAAAAAAAAAAATATTAGTCTTTCAAAATACGAAATATTTGTTTCCTTAATTATGCCACTTTAATCATATTGCTTCAAATTAGTTATTATTCTTAAACTTAACTATAAATAAAGATTAGAAAGACTTTATGGATTATTTGTAGTATTGGAAAGTATATATTTATTATAAAAAAAATTAAATCAATATTTATGTTAGGAAATCATGAAAATCTTATGCATGTATAGAAACTTGCTTTTATTGTTTGAAGTTTAACAAAAATAACTATGCTTGAATATGTAAACAGTAATTATATAGATATATTTTATACATAAGATAAACCAATGAGAGAGTGACATTTGTCATCCTCACATTGAAGCGCTTGTCTTTTAGTATAATAATATATATGTATTAGGATATTATTTTCATATTTTGGTTCTTTTTATGAAAACAAAATAATATATAAGGTACTTTTCATTGTGCAATTTAATTTGTACTTCATTTTAAATACCTTTGCCATAAGATATAATCTTTTAGGTCATGAATTAATACATCTCCCAAGAACTATTTAATACAATTACATTTTCTATTGGAACTTAAGATTTGCATGCATATTATTAAGACTTAAGATATTCATTTAAAATTACTTTCTATTTATTTACTTTATTCTACACAACAAACATGTTACATGTGTGTATAGTGTTATTAGTGTACAATGTGAATTACACATTTAATTTTACATTTACACTTAAACTTTTTGTGGAAGGATTAAGGATGGTTGGTAAATGAGATTAGAATTCTTAAGAAAATGGGAAGAGTAAAGTGAGGGGGCTCACACGGTCTACAAGTGGACAATGAAAAGAGGTGGAGGGTGGGGTCTTCTCGTAATTTCTTGAGTTCAATCTAGCTACTCCCATAGACCAAAGTCCCCATGGTCCCCAAAAGCCTTCATTTATTAAGGGGGATTCATCTTACCTCTTTGATTCCTAACCAACAGACCATAAAGCTTTTTTTTTCATTATTATATGCTCTTTACCCTTACATTAGCTACTAATTTCATCCTAAGGTTGTGTACAGGTTTAAAATTGGACCTGTATCGAACTAGAACCAATTAGACTTAACGATTAAACTTTGAGTACAGTTAGTGGACCAAACATTAGCTTGGAACTTTTTCGGATTTTCAGTTTCGATCTAGTTTTGGACCAATTTCAGTTCTCGTTTTTGGGAGCTATATGAAATAAGTTTTGATTTTAAGAATATTGATAGGGTTTAAAATTTAGATAGGTGTAGGCCACACCCATTATCTAATAAGCAGAGTTTACTATAGAGCTATGTAGCTTGGCCTGTTGGCCAGCCTTGTCCAATTATGGGCGGCTTTGGGCAGCCTTTTTTGGCCTGAAATCGGATTAGGCCCGGTTTGGCCCGAAATTTCAAAAAACTAGACGAGCTTGGGAAGACATTTTAATGCGAATTTAGTTGTTATTTTTGACCCGACTCAAAAATGACCTGAAAAGTCCGCACAGCTGGTATTTTGGACGAGTTTGGGCATGAACTTTTCAGCCCAAAGTTTGGCCCGTCCTGTTTCGGGGTTTTCTGATGTCCTGCGGGAGAGTTACAATTCCGAGACTGGAACCGGACGTCTGTACCTGCAAAATAACGGAGACTCCTGAGAGCTCCGCCTCCAACGGTCAAGTTAGTACCTGATTAAGGAGTAATCAATACAGAAAGTAAAGTAATGAGATCTCTCTAGGTGAGAGTGC